GCGGTCAAGCCGAGTCCAAATAAATAGTCAGCCCTGCGTCGCGCTCTGCGCGCGGAGGCCCTCGTCGTCCGCGAGATCGGCTCCGATTGGACGCTTGCTCGCGTTGCGCTGGTCTTCGTTTCGGCCGTGGCGATCGGCAACTTGCCCTCCGAGCGGGGGCGACTGTGGATGACCGCGGCGAGCAAATTCTCGCCAAAAGGTACACCTAGCCTTGCATTTTTCCTTCGCAACTACTGCCGGATTCGAAACGTAGTAAGAGCACGCTCGGCTAAATGCGTCCACGGGTACCCCGCTGCACCTCATGCCGATTGATGCGCGCGCGCGTATTTGCCGATAGCAGTGCCGCCCGAACGCGCGAAGTCAACGTCATCATACAACGTGCAGGCCGCCCGTGTAATCCGAAGGCTCAGCCATCAACGTGCACGAAGTCACTGGGCCCACTCGCGCACGCATCATACAACGCCTCAAGTCTTAAAAGCCCTTGGCGGTCTTCGACGCAGACTTGTCCAAATTCGGGGACTGGGCGGACGCGCCAGCATCGGGCGGACGCGTTCAGGAGGCCGCTGAAGGTGGCTTGCTCCCCACAATCCAGGACGGGAGAACAGCCATCTTGAAGCCCATGTGTCAAAGACGTGGCACGTCGAAATACAGTTGAACAAAGGGAACCATGGTTGGCATTCCATTAGAGCCCTTATCGACCGTACCGGCCGAGATCACCAAACACAGCGCGCGGGTGACTGTGGCCAGTGGCGAGCAAGGTCGAACGTGGCTAGGACGAGGATAAATCCGATCCAGGGCCGCCTGGAACGCTCTCAGAGAGTTCCCGAACTTTCCGAAAAGGTTGCGACGCCCGATGCATCCTCCAGAGCCACCAGATCTCAGCCCCACCCGATTTTACCATCGCCTTGGTTACATCTTACAAGACAGAGGGGGCGCGCTTTCACAGCACTTTCTGAGAAGGCCTGCCCCCTGTCACTTCCCTCTTCGGGGCGACGCCGATCAGATCCGGGCGACAGACAAAAAATAGTGACGGTCATCGTTTGTTGCGTTCGGCCTCTGAGAGCAGCATCCTGCCTTCAGGGCAGTCAGGGCAGTCAGACAAGCTGCTCAGGATGATCATCCAGCCTCGGGGAGGTGGCCGAGATCCATGGTGGCCGGCATGACTAAAATACCAGCTCGAAGCATATCTGTACCCCCATTATTACCATTACCGTATCGTCAAGGATTCCCTAAATTTCCGAGGGCGCATCCCTAAAATTGCCATCGTCCTGGGCTTGCCATTTGCAGGGACAGGGCGAAGTTCGAGGCGGGTGAACTTTCTTCTACAACTTCGGAGGAAAGGGAAGCCACCACGGGCACAAGACGGTGCCATGGGGTCCAGGGCGGCCCAAGACCGCGCCAAGGCGGCCCAAGACGGAACCAAGAAGTCACCGCAACAATTCCAATTCAAAACCGCCAAAGTTGGGCCGAATCGATTGTGGTGGGTGGATCGCGCCTCATCGCCGATGCATCGGCGATGCGGCTCGTATGCATAATATGGAGACCGATTTTCTCCACGTCATCGCCGATGCATCGCAGACGTATCTGATGCATGGGCGAGCGATGCGCTGCGATCCTCCGACCCCGTCCATTCGGACCCTATCTGTGCGGCCTTCAAGGAAGCCACCGTAGAAACTTCAGGCTCAACCATTTTTTAGTCCGTCCGTGGCTATCGCTACAGGTGCTGCGCGAACCGATGGCGCTCAGCCATTTCGAGTCCCGCCTGCCACCCCTCAGCGACTGCTCGGACCAATGGACGCGCTTCCCTGGGCGCCGCCATACCCACCCCGGGTACACGCCCTACCACCTCCTCCAGCTCTACGGCTCCGAAAGCTCGGACGATCCGACCGCCGCGCTGGAGCAGTATGACGGCCCTGAGCCAGAGCACCTCGCGGCCCCGCAGGCGGCGGCTTGCGCCTCCGAAGGCTTGGACGACTCGCCTATCTCGGACACCGACAGCGAGTTGGGCTACTACTCCGCCGTCCACGCCATAGGGCGCGAGACCGCAGGCGCTGCTCCCTCGCCGCGGAGGCCTAAAGCCAAGCTGAGGCCTAAAGCCAAGCTGCGGTCCGCTCCAGCACGAGACGTGGCTCGTGCGCCCGATGACCCCGCTGTGCCGCTGCGCTCGGCACTCGTGGGCGGGCCCGTGGACTCGCTTGCTGCGAAGCGGTCTAGCAAGTGCCGTGGTCGAAAAGCACGCGCGGTCCAGGCCAGCATGGTGAAGGTACCCCCAGACATGCAGGTCGCGGATGATATAACTACGGTGATGGTGCACAATATGCCGGTCAGGTGCAAGACGGACGTGTTGTTGCATGCGTTGGACACGACGGGTTTCTTGAATACGTATGATTTCTGTTATCGAAGACGCTTGCGGCGAATTACCGCCGCCCCCCTGCCTTGTAGGATATGCTTCTGTGGCCAACCGTCTGGACAAAATTTGGCCACGCTATTGGACCATGTGTCCCCCAAGCCGTTGTGGAAACCCTTGCGGGAACACGTGGGGGAGGATGATCAGAGAGAGGAAAAAGGAGTATGAGGAGAAGTATAAGGCGACTTCGTGCGAGCTTCGTCAGTCATTCCCTGGGCCTCCTGGGAGCTTTTGTGACCTCCTGGAGGCCTCTTTGGGGCCTTGATGGGCGCCTTGCGGCGTTCCTAGCCTTTCTGACGCCGTCGAAGCCGCCGTGGGAGACTTTCTGGGCCCTTTTGGGGCCCTCTTAAGGCGCTTCAGGACCTTTTTGGGACCCTTTGGGAGTTGTCTTGGGGGCCTCTTGCGCCGTCATGGGGCCATCTTCGGGGCCTCTTGAACTATCTTGTTGCGACTTCGTGGGGCTCTTGGGCCGTCTGGCACCGTCGGAAGGCCGAACAAAAAGCCAATGCCAAACCCGTTCAACATCCCATGGAGAATCAATGATTTTGGCCTCTTCGGGACCCCATGCAGGACCTCTTGGAGGCCTCTTGTGCAGTCTTGGAGGCCTCTTAGGCCGTCTTGGATATTTCGTGGGCGGATTTGTAGGCATCTGACACCCTCTTGGGCCGTCTTGGAGACCATCTTTTTATCCAAGATAGCCGTCTTGGCGCCTATCTTGGATCATATTGGGCAAACTTGCAGACCCTCTTCGGCTCGTCTTGGAGGCTTCTTGGGCCGCCATGAGGTAATCTTGAAGGCCTTTGAAGCCACCTTGGGGGCGGGGCCGCTCGGGCCGTCTTGGGCTGTCGGGAAGCCGAACATAAGCAAATGCACCACTTTTCAAACTCTTCAAGGACGCATATGATTTCGGCCTGTTCGGGTTCTCCTGGGAACCTCTTGGACGCCTTCTAGGCCGTCTTGGAGCCTTTGAGTCGCTTTTTGGCCGTCTTGGGCCGATCTTGGGGGCTCTCGGCGGACTTGGAGGCATCTTGGACCCTCTTGGGCAGTCTTTGAGGCCATTTTGGAGCATCTGGGGGGAATTCGGAGGCCTCTTGTGGCCGTTTTGGAGTCTTCTCTGGCCGTCATGAGGTAATATTGGGGGCCTTGGGTGCCATCTTGGGGCGACCTTAGGAGCATCTTGGGTCGTCTTGGGCTGTCAGAAGGCCGAAAAAGAACAAATCCCCAACTATTTGATTTCAAACATTTGAAGCAAATCAATGATTTTGGCCTCTTCGGACCCTCCTGAAGGACCTCATCCCCTTGGGCAGTTTTGGATGCCTCTCGGGAGCCTCCTGGAGCCATCTTGGACCGTCCGGGTGGCTTTGGGGTGGACTTGGAGGCCATCTTGGATCCTCTTGGGCCATCTTTGGCTATTTTGACCGTCTTGGAGGCAATCGAGGCGGTCTTGGAGACGTTGGTTGCGCAACGGTGGGGCCTTACAGGTGGCCGGCGGAATGGACCGAAGCCCCAGGGGGAGTTCATTTGGAAAAGAACCAACTTCAAGCCGTAGGATCTAGCACGCCAGGCACACCTGTGATACAGTCACCGCGCCTAGTGCGGACGCGCACCTTCACCTCGGGTACCCTTGTGTCCTTGCCCGTCCTTTGCCGATTTCATTGGTCGCCCGCTGCCCAAACAATCCCAACTTCGGCCTCAAGGGGTCTTGCATCCTTACCAATCGTTCTTCACACACGTTTTGACTGTAAATCAACAGGGGGCAGCGAATCAAGTGGACTTCAGTCCATCCCGCCACCATACCTGGGTCATAGACTGGAGGCCTCCTGGGGTCCGTTGGACGGCCTCCTGCGGCCTCTTAGCTGCTCTGAGAGCCTCCTGGGGGCCTCTTGGGGTGCGCCTGGGGCATCTTTTTTTGCATCTTGGTGGCCTGCCCGGGCATCTGCGACTGCAGGTCGAGGCCCCTCTCTTGGGGGCCTCCTTGGAGCGTCTCGGGCCCCTGTAGGGGGGCTCTCCTGGGCGGCACTTGGACGTCTCTCGGGCCATCCAGGACGCTCTGAAGATCGAAGGGACCAGTACGCGAAAGTAGTTCAACACTTGAGAAATCCAACACCTAAGGCTTATCAGTGGTTTGGGGCTTGGGAGGCGCCATGCCCTGGGCCTCCAAGAGGGCCCGCGAGGCCCCCAAAAGGGCTGCAGGACGGTCCCCGAGGACCACCTCGGGGCATTTGGAAACTGCGGACTCCGAGCTGTGCTTTCGAGGCCTCAGGAAGAGTCACGCGGCGATCTGGGGAAGCGCACGGCAGCGCACAAGAGTGTCCGTCTCCGGGACCTCTCCTAACGCGTTTGCTATGAATTTTTCTCGGGGGCCTGCAAACGGAGTGGTGACCACACAGTGGTGAGTCGGTGGAGATTCGGGGTCACCGCACGTTTTGGGACTCGGGTCGTTCTCCGAGGACGTCTCGGGCGACTGGGGCATCCGAGGTCCCAAAACCGTGCGTTGACGGACCGTGCGGTGAGATCTTGAGGGATTTCAGGGTCACCACACGGTCTGTCACCGCACCGTTTCGGGACTCCAAATTTACATTGGGAACACGAGGACGGTTTACTCACTGCCTACGGCACGGTGGCGGATATGCCATGTGACTTCGCTTCCAGCAAGAGCAAGGGGTACGCCTTCGTAAATTTCATGTCACCGACCGTCGCGCGTTGCTTCAAGAGAATGTGGCACGGCACGGAGCGATTCCCAAACTATCCCGACAGCCGTGCTTTGTATGTGACCGCGGCGCACATCCAGGGTTACGAGGCCAACATCACGATTGCAAACAAGACCGTCGGCATTCGAAATCCAAACTACCGCCGGGTCGTCTTCAGCCAGCGGGCTACGCCAGCTGCCTCGCCAGAGTCCGCCTTCCCAGCAGCACCTTCGCAGAGTAGCGGCTCCACGGAGAGAGCCGCCCCACAGGGGCCACAATTGAGGCCGCCGGGCACGGTGTCAGTTCGGGCGGATGCCGGTCCCCAGTCGTCCGCAATGGATCCCTCCGTCCAGCAGCAGCTGGCGCCAGGCGTCTGTTCAGCCATGAGCTGGCCGCTCGACTTCTGCCAGCAGGCCGGCCGTGCACCGCTTTCGACCTGCGCCCCAGGACTCTAGGCCTTCCAAATGGGGTCCGAGTAGACAGGGTCGGAGCCGTTGTCTGCACGCCGGCGAGGCCGATTCGTCGCCGACGTCGCCAATGTAAACGCATGCCCCCGATAATGAAGTATACCCCCTCCTTCCAACAAACCTCATGATCATCTTCGCGGAGGGTCCTAACTCCGGCATCACCAGTGACGGTATCAACCATAGATGGAATTTGCTTCCCATGAGTAGAAGTATCCTGATAATGAGCCGTCTTTCTCTAGATATTGCAGCTACTACTAGTAGTCTTTCTTCTTCTACTACTTTTACTACTGCTACGACTCTTACGATTGCTACTACCACTTCTACTACTACCTCTGCTACTACTACTACCTCTGCTACTACTACTACTACTACTACTACTACTACTATCACTACTACTACTACTACTACTACTACTACTACTATTACTACTACTACTACTACTACTACTACTACTACTGCCATCACTACTATTACTACTACTACTACTACTCTTACTACTACTGCTGCTACTACTACTACTACTACTACTACTTCTACGACTACTACGACTACTATTACCACTATTCCTCCTACTACTAATACTACTACTACTACGACTGCTTCTGCTACTTTTGCTATTACCTATGTTTCTACTACTACTACCGCTACCACTACTACTACGACGACTGGTACTACTACTCGTACTGCTTTTATTTTTACTACTAGTATTACTATTACTGCGACTTCTACGACTACTACTACTATCTATTACTACTACTACTTCTTGGCCCACTGCTACTACTGTTACGGCTAATAAGTTTACTACTACTACGAGTCTTGCTGCTTGTACTTTGACTACTACGATTGTTATTACTACTACTACTACTACTACGACTACTACTACTACTACTACTACGACTACTACTACGACTACTATTACTACTACTTTTACCACTACTAGTACTTTCACGACGACTACGACTACTCTGAATTGTTCTATTCCGAGCTACTACTACTACTACGACTACTACTACTACTACTACTACTACTACCACTACTACTACTACTACTACTAGTACTACTACTACCGCGATTCGCACAAGTGTGTTACTGCTACTACGACTCCAACTCCTGACCCCGACGACTACAAATACTTACGTATTATATGTGTAAACGCTATCGGCATTGTGCCGACGCCTGCTCCTACTTGAATTCCCACAACCAAGATCCCAAGTGTGTCTTACTCTTGTTGCTACTACACACAACGGCATCTTACCATTATTGTTATTCGTTTTCGTATTACGACATACTACTTGAACAACCATTGTTACTCCTTTCCCGCTTAGTATTGCTGCTATTATCTACTACTAGTAGTCTTACGACTACTAATACTACTTCTTTTGTTAATGCCACGAGACTCCTACACGTTTTGCTGCTATTGTTGCTACAAGTATTCCTATTAGTATGGCGATTTTCTTCTTATTACTACTACCACTACCTCTACTATTGCTACGATTGTTACGATTGTCTGCTACCGTTCATATTCCAGCCACACATGTTTTTACTACTTCGTTTTTAGTTTGATTATTGCTACTGCTACTCCTACTATTACTACGGCCGCTACTACGACTGCTACTTATACTACGATTGTTGTACTGTTAATGGTGTCCGTATAACTACGACTAGAAACATTTCCAGTGTCACCACTACCCTTATTACTAGCACTGCGATTACGTTCGCTACTACAGCTGCTTCTCGTACTAATATCGTGGTTATTGTTACTACCCTACTACTACTACTACTACTACTACTACTACTACTACTGCTACTACTACTACTACCACTACTACTACGGCGACGACTTCTGCTTCCCCGAGCACTACGATATCTACAACTACAACTACTACTATTACTAGTACTACTACTACTGCTACTACTACTACTACTACTACTACTACTACTACTACTACTACTATTACTACTACTACTACTACTACTACTACTACTACTACTACTACTACGACTATACTACTACTGCTGCTACTACTACTACTATTACTACGACTACCACTAGTACTACTACGACTACGACTATGTCTACGACTACTAATACGTTGTACCAGTTCGACTACTACGGCTACGTGTGCTACGACTTCGAGTGCTACCTGTTACTATTTACAACTGCTAGACATAGTAGTAACAGTAGGAGTATCATCTTTCCTCGCACCCCCCACGGGCGAACAGTTCGTCTCCTGTTTATGATATCCCCTGGACATATCGGGGATGAGCTGCCTATCAGGAGGATTTGAAGACCTCCCTGACAGCATTGTGTTATGGCAGACTTTGGAAGTTGTGGAGCTGATTTTTCTGTTCGAAATGTGGTCTCATTCCTCCCCCGTTCCATCCCCTGCTGCAGTTAAGAAGAGCCATCACGACTATTACTATGACGAGGACGACGACAACGACGACGGAGTACTACGACGACAACTATTACTACTAAGATGACTACTACTACTACTACTACTACCACTACTACTACTACTACTACTACTACTACTACTACTACTACGACTACTACTACTACTACTACTACGACTACTACTACGACTACTACTAGTACCATTACGACCTACTACTACTACTACTACTACTACTACTACTACTACTACTACTACTACTACTACTACTACTACTACTACTACTACTACTACTAGTACTACGACTACTACTACTATTACTACTACTACCACTACTACTACTACTACTACTACTACTACTACTACTACTACCACTACTACTATTATTATTATTAATTCTACGAATACCACCACGGCTACCACTACCACCACTACGACGACTACTACTACTACTACTACTACTACTACTACTACTACTGCTACTGCCACGCCTAAGACTACGACAACTACCACGACTAGCACTACGGCTTCGTATGTATTCCTTCTACGGTTACGACTACCACCACTACTGGTGTCCTGGCGTGTAGTGTTATTACGATTGCGACTACGGCTACGGCTACGGCTACGGCTACGGCTACGACTGCGACTACTATTACGTTCCAGCAACCGTACTCCGTACACGGTACATCCGTACGTGCGAGTTGCCAGGGAAAGTGTTGTATGTTTTTGGAACACCGAACCTCAGAATCCCCATCTTGCGATTATTTGTGGCATGCGGTTATTGCCGATGCATCAGCGATGCATCCACGGCATTTCTCTTTTCTTCCGCGGCGGTACAGCATCCAGTGGTCAGGCACAGTTGCACCACACCTATCGGGCCACCACCTCCCTCTGACCGACAGCCCGCTGCACCCTCCCTCACTCGACCGCAGGGCACCGGCTAGAAGTATACACCAGTTTTGGAGATGTCAAAGGGTATTGATACCGCTACTCCCCGGACCTCTCCCAGGATGCAGTCTGACCAGGAATTCGAGGCGAATCCAGCGGAGGCGACGAGAGCCTCCCAGGAGAGGGAACACGTGGGAAGAATAGCAGTGTTAGTGTTGGTAACTGTTCCTTTCCGAGGTCCTGGCCCAGCCGACCTGGAGCCCAGGGGCATCGGCGATGCATTGGCGATGCGGCGCGATGCTCCGCTCCCATCTTCAGCGCACGCGCAGACGGGGGTAGGTGGAGGGGGGAAGGCTTCTCAGAAGCACCCTTGCTTCTTAAGTGGAAGGCGTGGGCATCGTCTGTAGATGTAAGGCCCGCGCTTTCTAAGAAGCAGCTTCCTTCCAAGAAGCCCTCCCCCCTCCCTCTCTATGTACCCTTACGTCGGGCATGTCCTTCTAGAAGAGGGACGTTCAAGAGCAGCTAACAAAAATCTGGTGACGACTTTTCGTGCCCTTTTGACTCATCTTGTCTCTTTGTTGACGATTCTCTATTTTCCTTTCAAGATCCGCCTATAGGAGGGCATGCCCGACCTAACTCTACCCCGTCTTTCACCGCCCACCGCACCACTCCAACCCAACCCGAAGGCTCCGATCTGGCATCCATTTCCACGGGGGGGGGGCGGGCAACATTGCAAAAACACACATGAAGCCCGTGCCCCCCCCCCAAGAACCGAAGTTCGGGCGGAATTCGGGTCTTCGGGTAAGGCTGGGGTGGTCTCGTGGGCCGTAATTCTCGCGCGCCGCCGAGCACCGCGACGCGGCGCGGTGCGCCGACCCCGTCTGCCCTGAAGCCCGAGAGGCCCGTCGCGGGGCGGCACGGCCGCACCGCCAGGGCCGCAGGCCTTCCTGGGGCTGGCCACGGCGCAGCGGCCCCACGTCGCCAGGTGGTCCAGGGCAGCGTGGGGGTGGAGGCGAGCATGTCCCTCCACAGGGGGAAGATTCAACAACAGTCCAACAACAGTCTGGGGACGACTTTTCAATCATGCTTCGATTATTTTGGGGCTGGGTTAGGTTACTGCTGGATTTTTCGCCCACAATCTGCCTGTAGGGGGACATGCCCGACCTAACGTTAGGACTCAGAAAACGGTCCTGGGAGCTTTTCGTCGTCACTTCGTCGGGGCAACGTCTGGGGGGGGAATAGAAGAGGAAGGAAAGGAACCAATGAGTTTACCCCTCGCCAGTTTTCCCTTCTCTCGGCCTCCTGGGAGGCCCTCGTCGCCACCGCTGGATTCGGAATCTGACCACAACGCACCCTAGGGGCGGCACGGCCACACAGCTGGGCCGCAGGCCCACGGCGCAGTGGCCCCACGTCGCCAGGTTTTCAGGAACGTGATTTTTAGACTGCTTGGGGGCATAATGAGCATCATAGCCCCCAGCACTCTCCCCCCCCCCCCAAGAACGAACGCACCTCCCCCCCAGTGCGCTCCGGGCACTGCTGCCGTGCGCACGGCGGGGGGGCGGGGGGGCGTTACATTATACCCCCCCGTGGCTCCTTTCCCCCCCCCAATAATGCCCATTATCGCCGAAAATAAAGAAACGCGCTCCAGGGGCAGCGTTAGGGCTCAAAAATTTGGTCCTGGGAGCTTTTCGTCGTCACTTAGTCTGGCTTCCCTGCGCCTCCAGTGGTCCGTAGTCGTTTGCTGGCCCCACCGGAGGCCACAGGGTGCCACTGGAGGCCTCTGTAGGCCACTGGAGGCCACGGAGGGCCACTAGAGCAGCCGCTGGACACTGGAGGAGCCACTGCGGCTACTCAGGTGATCCGCCGTCCCTTTTTGGCTTGCCACAAGGGGTGCCCGGCGTGCTAGATCCTTTCGGTTTTGGCTTTGGCTTTTTTTCCAGAATAACTTCCCCTGGGGCTTCGGCACGTCCCGCCGGGGTCCCGGAAGGGAGCTCAATCCCCAATTGTTCCTCCAAGACGGCTCAAGGTGGCCTCCAAGATGGCCACGTTGACCCAAGATGGCCTCCAAGGTGGTCAAAGATGGCCTCCAAGTCCGCCCAAGATGATCAAAGACGGCCTCCAAGACGGTCCAAAAGAGTCCAAGATACCTCCAAGTTCGCCCAAAAAGCCTCCATGACGGCCCAACACGACCCAAGAGGCCTCCAAGAGGTCGCCCAGGAGGACCCGAAGAGGCCAAACTCATTGATTGTCCTAAGGTTTTTGACAAATTTGGGCATGTTTCTTCTCGGCTTTCCGTCGGTTCAAGACGGCCACGATAGTTTCCAACACGGCGAAGATGACCTCAAGATGTTTCCAAGACGGCCCAAGATGCATGCAAGACGGCCTAAGATGGCCTCAATATTGCCCAAGACGGCCCAAGAGGCGCCCAAGACGGCCCAAGAGGCCTCCAAGAGGTCGTCCAGGAGGACCCGAAGAGGCCAACATTGTCCTAAGGTTTTTGAAGGATTTGGGCATTTGTTTCTTCTCGGCTTTCCGTCGGCTCAAGACGGCCCAAGATGCCCCCAAGATCGCCCCAAGATCGCCCACGAGGCCTCCCAGATGGTCCCATAGCGGCCCAAGAGGCCCCCAAGGCGGCCCCAAGGGGCTCCCAAGAGGCCTTCAAGATGGCCAAGGTGGCCTCCAAGACGGCTAAGATGGCCCAAAGATGCCTCCAAGACGGCCCAAGATGCATCGAAGGCGGCCTAAGACGGCCCAAGAGGCCCCCGAGAGGCGCCCAAGACGACCCAAAAGGCCTCCAAGAGGTCGTCCAGGAGGGCCCGAAGAGACCACAATCATCGGTTTTCCTAAGGCAGGATTTTGGCATTTGCTTCTTCTCGGCATTCCGACTTATCAAGACGGCCCAAGAGGCCCCCAAGATCGCCCCAAGATCGCCCACGAGGCCTCCAAGATTGCCCCATGACGGCCCAAGAGGCCCCCAAGACGGCCCAAGAGGCGTCCAAGACGCCCAAGATGGCCTCGAAGACGGCCCTAAAATTCCCCAAGAGGGTCCCAAGACGACCCAGCCAGGCCCCCATGACGGCTTCCGATGGCGTCTGGCAAGCCAGGAACGCCTTACGACGGCCAAAGAGGCCCCCAAGAAGCCCCCAAAGGCCCCCCAAAACCCTCCAAGCGGCCCCCAGGAAGCTCCCAGGAGGCCCCAAGAGCGCCCCAAGAGGCGCCCAAGAGACCTCCTCCTCCTCCTCCTCCTCCTCCTCCTCTGTTTTTCTCATCCCCGCCTCCTCTTCTTGCTCCCCCTAATTATGCGTTCCCCGAAGTCTTTCCGAACCGACTCGGGGAACGACAGGCCCGATAGCTTGGCCAAGCTCTGGCCCAGCTGTCGGCCACATAGGCTCTTCCAAATGGGCAGGGGGCGGCGGTGATTCGCCGTAGGCGTCTTCGATTACGAAAGGCTCCCGGGAGCGTCGTTTGAACCAGGAGAGGATACCAGAGGAACAGATACCGATACCACTACCCTTCGCCCGTTGTCCCCTTTTTCGGCCTCCTGGGAAGCCCTCATCGCCATGCTGAATTCGCCTCGAGTTCCTGTTCAGAACGCATCCCAGGAGAGGGGCGAGCGACGCAGAAACGGGGTCGATTGCGCCGACATTGACTCGTAAGCTCCCCGCTCCAGGTCGCGCGTAAGCGCCCTCGATTCCACCGTGGCGTTCTCGCTGGCGGCCCGCGTAAGCCGCGCAAACGGTCGATACGTCATCTCGCGTAAGACCCGTTTCGTTTCGTCGCTCAGGTGATCAGGGGCAACGTTCGGGGGGTATGTTCAGGAGAGGAAATATCGGGCTCGGGGCTTGAGGTTTTCATGCGTTTTCGCCTTTCTCGACTGCTTTCCAGCCAGCCTCGGGATGCTCCCCAGCTTCTGCGCCTCGCCGAGAGCGTTCCAGGGGTGCCCGTATCGGCCCGAATTGCCGTTGGAGGCCCGAGTTATGACCCGACAATTTCTGGGCGATAGGCTCATGGGGGGACTCATCGACCCCCAGTCGCCCATTGATCGACGATAGGGGCGCGGGAGCCCACCTGGTCCAGGACCATGCATGTTCGCTCTCGGGGGCCTGTCGCCAATCCATCGTCGATGTGTCGACGATTCCAGGTCGATGTTTCCGCCCCCCCCCAGCCAGTTCCCCAAACGGTGCCCCTCAGGTGATGGTGCAATGATGCGCGCGGGCAGACGCTCCGTTGGGAGTCCATGCCTGTGTTTCAGTATCGCGCCGCCGAGTGTTTCGCGCGGCGTGATGTGTTGCCTCTGCTGGCCGCAGCGGCTTGCGGCGTGACGTAGCAGCAAAGCAAGGCATGCAGCATGTCGTATTGCTCCTTCCGAGCGTATGGTATTCTGAATCACCAGAACCACCAGAAAGAATTTCGAGCACCAAGAAAGCACCGATAATGGAGGGTTTTCACGTGTCGGGCTCTGGGAGGCGATAGTCGCTCGACATTGTTTCGATTGTTTGCTGGGTGCTCGAAGCTGTTCTCCAAATAGGCTTACCCTATGGGCCCTATGGGAGTTCTGACTCAACCCCTTCTAATTGGTCCGTTGCCCCCCCATAAGTCCTGGGCTCTCCCCTAATTCCTGTGGCTATGCCTATATCGATCCATGTCTCCCCCCTAACTCCTATGCCTACGACTATGCCTATGCCTGTGCCTATGCCTATGCCTATGCACCACCTCTGAGCGCTCCTATGCCTATGGGGGTTCGTGCACGTGAAGGAGGGGGTGCTGGTCCGCAACCACTGCGGCTCATGCCTCACTCGCCTCAGACAGGCGCTCATGCCCCGCCCCTGCGCCTGGGCCTTCCTCGCCGCGCCATGTCTGGCTGGGCTGTGGACGCTGTTCTCGGAGCGGCCGGGGCTGGCACTGGAGTGCTCGTTGTGGCTGGTGGAGTTCGCGCTAGACACGGCGCGGGGCCGCTGGCCGCGGGCCCTGGACCGAGACGCCGGCGGCGTCGCTGGCGCTGAGGGCGATTCGTCAGGTGGTGTATCTTGTACCCCTTGCCCGGCACCCGAGAGGTGCGTGGAGGAGCCGGTGAACCAGTCGAGGGACTTCGAGCTGTTCGCTGACTGCCCTGCCGACATCGTTGAGCCGTGCGAGTGCGAGCCGTGCCCCGCCTGCCCCGCCCCGACTGAGGAGCTGGGGGAGGTTGCCTCGGACTCCGAGTGCGTGCAGTGTACCCCTTGCCCGGCACCGGAGCGGTGCCCTGAGACCGAGGAGCCTCCCTTGGTGCAGGAGTGTACGCCAACGCCGATACTCGAGCACGAGGCGGTGCCGGCGGTGGCTCTGGTCAACTGGTTCCAGCTGCTGTTCGGCACTGCGACGGCTTTCGCGAGCGGGGTGTTGACCTCGTGTGGTTGCCGTCCGACGCCGTGGCAGTATGGCGATCGTCGAGCGCACTATGCCCTTGCCTGGGCACACTTTCGTTCTGTTCTTCGAGGGTGATGCGTGGGGCCACGAGCGGGTGCTGGTGTGGCCGCTGTCGGCCTCGTGCTGGCTGATATACACGGCCAACGGGGATTTCTATGGCGAGGATACCACTTTATACGAGAAGGTGGTCGCGATCAAGAGACCAGGGGAGCGGCCCGTCGGGCTGGCAGCCGACTCGATCGTGCAGTTCGACGCCAGCGTCCATCAGGAGGAGTTCCTGGACCTGCTCGCCTCGGCCCAGAGGCACGCCGGCCCGCTGCGGCAGGCGCGCGGGCTGCCGGACCGGCCGGCGCCGACCCACTGGATCAACGTTCGCGGCGTTCTGGAGCCGGTGCCGCGCCCGCGGCGGGTGCCCATGCGCGGCCGCCTGCCCGTGCCGGGCGCGCCCCTGCCGCTGACGGCGGCCGCGCGGGCGCGGACCGGGCCTGGCGGGGACCTTCGAGGTGGCCCTCTCGCGGCGGCCCTCCGCGCTGCCGAGGCCGGGGAACTGCCGGCGGTGACCTGGCGCGCGTCGGAGCCGGGGCTGGACTTCGGGGAGATAGACACCGAGGTCGACCCGCGGATGCTGGCGTACGCGGGGCGCCTGTACGGGGTGGCGGTGACGGACGACGGGCTGGAGGTGCCGGTGATGGCCGTCGACCCGCGGCTCAACCCTGAGGACTTCAAGGCTCAGAGGTGGACAACGCTTTCGCCGCCTACCCCACGGGGGCCGCCTGAGCCTGCCCTCGTGCTCGAAGACGACCCTGTCGCCGCCTTCCGTCGGGAGGCGGGTGGTCGGGAACTGGGCGCGGCGGGCGCCGGGAGCCCGCTGGCCGAGCGGCCTCCTGATGGCCCATCGCCCCTTCCGCCGTCGGCGGAGTCGCCGCCAGACGGCGAGGAGGGGTCCCCCGACGCACGCGTGCCCGAGGTCGACTGGGACTCGCAGGGGGAGAGGCATAAGGACTGGAAGGCGGTGTGCCGGGAGTCAGTGTCGCACTCGTTCCGCGACTGGCCGCTGGACGGCCCGTGCAAGACGCTCAGCGTGATGACGCACATCGACCGTTTCGGCCCCGCGCCAACGTCGTGGCTGGAGGCGTGGGCGCGGCGGAAGCACATCGCTCCCAGCGACCGCGCCTTCCACGAGCTGCGAGTGCTCGCCGAGAGCTTCGAGATGTCCGGGTGCTACGACCAGGTGAACATGCCGTGCCTGGGGGGGGGGGAGGTGCGGATGCGTAGGTGGCAGACCATCGTGGATGCCCACTCGGTGCCGGGCGCGAAGCCCAACTACTCCATGTCTGGGGTGTACTCGGGCACCGCGATGCTGGAGGATGCGGTGGCGCCGGACCTGCGGGCGCACGGCGCCAAGAGGCTCAAGGAGAAGACGTTGGAGGGCAGCGTGCACCGCGGGGGCCTCGCCCTGAAGCACGTGGACGACGGCGAGGAGGAGGGCGCAGGAGCGGCCGAGCCAGCCGCAGCCGCAGGCGGCGGCAAGGGGGGCGGGGGGCGCGGAGCTGGCAAGGCGAAGATGAAAGCTAAGGCCGGGCTCGCCGCGCCCCCGCCGCCCAAATGAGCGAGTCGCGCGGCGGGGGACCTGGGCCGGCCCCCGCCGCCTCTTTCAGGTCCTGCATGGGGGTGCATCGGCGTTTGCCCGCCTTCGACATTCCGGCCAGGCTGGGAGACGCCCCCCGTCGATCCCGACACCGACGCGGACTCGGCGCGGAGGTGCTCGGGCGCAAGAACGAGACCTTGGATGCGCTCAATTGGTGCTTGGGCGCGCGGACTGCGGCGTGTCCAGGGGCCTCAGAATTCGAGGTGAAGGCCGCGGCGGCCCTTGTCGCCCCTGTCGTTGCGAAGCCAGCGGCAGCTCCTTCCCAGGAAGCAACCGCCAGAGTGCTTCTCCGCGGTCACCCCAGCTACGACGCCGAGGAGACCCATGCCACCGTCGTGCCCTACGAGTTTGGTTCCGTCTCGCTCCCCGAGCACGCCCATGATGCAGCAGACGCGACGGCAGTGACTAGTGTTGGACGCTGAGGACCGGTTGATTATCGAGGGTTGGCAAAAGAGCACGACGCGGTCTCCTGATGGGTTTCGACAGCTCAACGAGAGGCTGGAAGATATCAAACCGTTCTGGGACAAGAAGCTGTCGCGGAACCGGAAGGCTTACCGCCAGTTCATCTTGGACCTCGACCGGCGGGGCATGATCAAGTGGACTACAGATCCCATCGAGCATGCGGGCCTTTTCTTCGTCGGTAAGAAGGACAAATCCCTGAGGCCCATTATCGACGCGAGGAGGGGGAACCGCCGGTTCAAGACACCTCCGCACACCGACCTGATCACGAGCGAAGGGTTGTCCAGGATAGAGTGCGAGCCTGGGTTCGAGGAGCGCCCTGAGTGCGGCTTCACTTCGGGGGTCGGCGACGTGGAGAACTGCTTCCATCGGCTGCGGCTGCCTGACGGCATGCATCGGTGCTTCGCCCTGCGGCCCATCCCCGCCAAGTACACTAAGCTGCGGGGCACAGTGGGCCGAGACGCCCTCATATACCCCTGCTTAGCCTCGTTCCCCATGGGGTTCACGTGGCCCCTGTGGGTGGCCCAGCGCTGCAGCGAGGCGGTGCTGGACAAGGTCTCGCAGCTTGGGCCCAGCAGGAGAATTACGGACCACGCCGAGCCGATCGTGCCGCGGAAGGGGGGCGAGGTGCAGTACGCCCTGTACGTGGACAACCTGGGCGTGTTGGGTGGGGCCGAGCCCCCTGCGCAGCTGGCGCTCGGTGCTGGCTGTGCGGCCTTGGGGGCGGTGGGGCTCAAGACGCACGAGCGCGAGCTGCTGGCAGGAGGCGGCGAGACGCTGGGGCGCATGCTGGACGGCCGGCAGCTTGAGACGCGGGTGACCGAGATGCGGAGGTGGCGCATTGATGGCGCCTTCCGTTGGGCCCTCCGGCGACGCCGCCTCAGCGGCAAGCAGCTGGAGAGGCTCGTCGGCCACGCCACCTTTGTGAGCCTGCTGGACCACACGGCGCTGAACGTGTTCAACGCCTGCTACGCCTTCATTCACCGGTGCGGCGACAGCATGGCCGTCGCATGGCCGACGGTGCGGCATGAGCTCCAGGCCTTCATTGGGCTCCTTCCGCTGGTGCGCGCGCCCTGGGACTTGCCCTGGTGCGAGACGGTGGTGGCCACGGATGCCTCTCTCGAGGGATGGGGGCGCTGCCGTTGTCTGCTGACGGCCAAACCAGTGGCTAGCATCGCTCGCGTCCCAGAGGTCTCGAGGTTTCGCCGCATACATTGTCTTGGCGCTCGCGCGGCTGCGAGCGCAGCACTGTATCCGTTACATGACGATGACGAAACTCATCAGCCGCCGCCATTCATCGACACCGCCAACATCATCGACATCGGGGAGGCCTTGCCGACGTCGCCGGGGGAGGAGGAGTGGACGGTCGACAGCTCATTCCCGGAGGTGCCGTTCGGGGAGGGGGTCTCTTCTCAGCCCGGGACTACATCGATGAGAACGATTTGATATCACCTTGGAGAGTTACTGGAAAGGGCAAGTGGAAGTTCGGAGAACGCATCTTGGAGTTGGAAGCTCGAGCATTGGTTCTTGGTTTGGAGAGCCTAATCGCCGAGGGAGTCGCAAACAGTCGAAACTTGTTCCTGGTGGACAATATGGCTATCGTTCTCTCGTTCGCTCGGGGTAGGTGCAAGAACGATGTGGTGTTACAACAGATCCGACGCTTTCGTGCACTATGTCTTATTCGCAACATCCGCCCGTACTTTCGCTGGATCAAGTCTGAGTTCAACCCGGCGGACGCGCCCTCCAGAGATGGAGGCGAGCTGGGGCCGCAGCGCGGTCTTGGCCAGGAGGCGGGCTGCAGCCAAGCGGGCCGCCTGCCTTGGGCCGCCCAGGCCAGCGGCGGCCACGCCCGCCCTCTGCCTGGAGAGGCCCTCGCCGCCGGCGGGCCGCCCGCGGAAGCGCAAGCTGCTGCGGCCGCCGACGCGCGAGCTGCCACTCGCGGCGGCGCCGAGGCAGGCCGCCGGGTGGCGGGCGCTGGGCGTGGCGGCCCCCAAGCTGCTGGGCCCGCGGACGGCGCCCAGGCTGGAGAGCCCGTCGGTGGAGGAGGCCGTGACAGGGCCCCTGCTCGCCGCCGCGGGCGCGGAGGCCGGCTCCGGCTTGGGCCGCGGCGAGGCGGCAGCGGCCGCGGAGAGCTCGGACAGCGACAACCTGGACGACCTCACGGTGGCACGGTGCAAGCGGAGGCGCTCCAAGTACCTGGTGGACGCCCGGCACGCCATGGGCCAGCTGGGCATCCTGCTCGAGTCGGAGGCCGCGCAGCCGAAGACCAGGGAGTACTACCACCTCCTGGTCTCGAGGTTCTTCTACTGGGCGAAGCAGAGGCGGCTGGGGCCCCACCCGCCGGGCCAGCTGGATGGGACGCCGTGCATCCACATGACGGAGCTGTTCCTGTCCGGGCGCCAGGCGAATAATGTGAGGGAGAAGCTGCTGGCTGGTGTCCTGCACGTCCTCCCGGAGTTTGGGGAGGTTGGCCAGCTCTTGCTCCCGCGCCCGTGGAGGGCGGTGAAGGGCTGGCGACGGCTGTGTCCTGGTCGAAGCCGGCATCCGATGCCGCTGTGTGTGCGCGGGCTGCCGCATGCCACTGGCTGATAGAGCGCGGCATGCGCCACGAGGCGGCAGCGATCCTGCTGGGCTTCATGTGCTACCTGAGGCCGTCCGAGCTGCTCTGCGTGAGGTGCGGGCACTTCGTGGCGCCAGCGGGGGGAGTGTCCCGCAACTGGAGCCTGCTGCTTGCGCCGGAGGAGCTGGGCATCCCAACCAAGGCGGGAACGCTCGACGACAGCCTCCAGCTGGACACGATGGCGCTGAAGTGGCTCGACGTGGCGTGGCGGGAGCTCAATGCCAAGCCAGCGGCAGAACGGGCCTTCCCTTCCAGCTACCAGGACCTGCTGGCCGACGTGCAGGCCGCCGGCGCCACGCTCGGACTAAAGCTAGTCCCCTACCAGCTCCGCCACAGTGGAGCTTCTTACGACTGGCTACGCCAGTTGCGGGGGCTCCCAGAGATGATGAAGCGAGGCCGATGGCGGAAGCTCAAGTCGGTGGCGCGGTACGAGAAGCATGCGAGGGTGGGGCTGGAGTTCGGCAAGCTCGACGCTCGGACCCGAAGCCACTGCGTTCGCTGCGAGCCACTGCTCGCGGATGTGTTCCTCGGCAGGCGCAGCCCGCTCACCTTCGGTCTCCAGCATGCGTGAACACGTCGTATATAGCCGATTGTTTTTTTCGGGCTGTGGGGAGGTAAGCAAGAAAATTCGGCAGGCCGGTTTTTGTGCTCGGGAGTGGGACCTTCTCCACGGCGCCGCGGGGGACCTTTGTAGCCCTGCTGTCCGTAGGCTCATAAAACAGGACCTCGCCAACGGCCGATGTATTGGCCTGATGCTTGCCCCGCCCTGCAGCTCCTAGTCGGCCGCTCGAGATCGTGCATGCCTAATTCGATTTAGGCGAGTTACCAGGGGGATCCCAGGCTTGAAGGCCAGCGACATGGCCAAGGTCGCTTTTCGGAAACGCCACGCTGGGCGCTGCTCTTGACCCGGCCCGCGCTGCCGAGTCCGCCGGGGCCCCCTGGGTTCTCGAGAACCCCCGCGCGTCCAAGATGTGGCGCGACTACAATCTCAAAGTTCTTGTTGCACGCAGTGGGGCTGCTCAGGTTATAACCGATTTCTGTCAATGGGGAAAACCGTGGCGGAAACGGACTCGTTTTTTAGTCGGTAATGCTTGCCCCGACGACCTGGTCACGCTTAATCGAGTTTGCTCGGGGCGAGGAGTCTGTGGCCGCACGGGGCGCCCTCGCCAGCATTTAGAAGGCGGGGGCCCAAAAGGAATTCGTTGGACTGTCCTGGCAATGCCGCACCCCGCTCGTCTGGCCCACGTGCTGGCCTCCGTCTTGGTCCCGAAAGCCCGCAGTGAGTATAGCATTTGTTAACTTCACTCTACCGTCGGATCGGGAGGTTTGGGGTGCTTGTTTTTTCATAATGATCTTCGTTCGCTCACTTTGTGTATGTCTTTTCGGGGCTCTCGTGCCCTCGTCCGCTCGCTCCCTGACGTCGCGGCGATGGCACAAGATGGCTAGTTGACAAATATATCATGTAGAGCGGCCCTGCTATTCCCTCCTGGGGGTGCGTGCACGTGAAGGAGGGGGCGCTGGTCCGCAACCACTGCGGCTCAAGCCTCACTCGCCTCCCTGTGCCAGCCCAATGCCTCATCTCGTGAGGGGTGCTTGTTTTTCAGAATGATCTTCGTTCGCTCACTTTGTGTATGTCTTTTCGGGGCTCTCGTGCCCTCGTCCGCTCGCTCCCTGACGTCGCGGCGATGGCACAAGATGGCTAGTTGACACATATATCATGTAGAGCGGCCCTGCTATTCCCTCCTTCCTATGCCTATGCACCACCTCTGAGAGCTCCTCCACCTCTTCTCGAACTAGGCTTGCCCAACAGGAGTCCTAGCTCACCATGAGTAAGTGGTATTTAGCCCCCCTTTTTTCCAATGGCGCCCCCTTATTTCCAATGGCACCTCTATCCCCCCCTTCGATTTTGCCAATGGCCCCCCCCCCCTTATTTTCAATGTGTTGCTTGCTTGCGCGCTTGCACGCTTGCTTACTTGCTTGATTGCTTGCTTGCTTGCTTGTTTGCTCGCTTGCGCGCTTGCGCGCTTGCACGTTTGCGCGCTTGCTTGCTTGCTTGCTTGCGCGCTTGCTTGCTTGCGCGCTTGCTTGCATGCTTGCTTGCTTGCTGAGTTGCGGATTCCAAGGATGCTTGATTCCTCTGATTCCTTGAGTTGAGTCGTCTAATCTATTTGGAATCAACGCTGGCGGATGTTTCCGGGATTTGGTCCTTAGGTACGGTGGGGTCAACATAATGGTATTCGTTGAAAAAGCGGCATCTGGTGAACGCCGTTGTGAGCCTCTCGCGACCACTGCCTCTCCAGGGGGCCTCATCGTTTCTTGGATCTGGCACGGGTTCGACGCAGACTCGAGTTCAGCTCGACGCGGATTCAACATGAATTCGAATTCGACGCTCGACGTGGATTCGACGCGGACTACGGCGTGATAGGACCGACAAGATCCATCGATGATGCAACACCACGGTGTGCCAGTACGCTGTGCCGTTCTACTGCATGTGTTCCCCATTCGCTGCTTCGCAGTATCCATTGGTCAGGCAGACTTGCAATACACCTATTCATCCACACACCCTCCCCTTGACATGCCGGAAATTCGACGTCAACCTGCCACTCGGGCTGTTGCGCTGGCACACGCACCTTTTTCGCGTGTGACGTATTGTGATGCAGTGGATATGCGCACCGGCATGATACCTTCTTGTTGGGCCCCTCAGAACAAAAAATCGAAGCGTGGAGCGCTCAGCGGTTGCAAGTGCAGTCTTCCTCAGGCTGTCTGTTTTTTTTTGCGACGGCATGGCAGCACGACGTTTCAGTTGCAGTTTCGCTCTCGTTCTGGAGGCTCGCGACCTGTCTTTCTCGTTCTCATCCCCATGTCCTCTGTCTTTTCTTCTGGCCCTCCGCGGAAGCAGCTATGGGAGCCAGCAGAGCATGTGATGATCAGCGAGTCGTTTCCGAGCACGCAGTTGCCGTAGGGAGAGGCAGTGAATAGAGCGACGTGGCTGTCGACATGAGTGCGCAGTTCCGTCTCAAGCGGCGGGCCCATGTGTTAGAATACGCACGAGGGCCCAAGTCTATCCCGAAGAGCTTACGAATAATTCCCACGAAGGTGTGCCCAACAAGCTCAAAAGTTCTCCATGCATGCCCCTCCCCCTTCGAGAACCGAGTCTCAGGTTAACCCATGCGTGTTGTGGATTTTCGGCATGCCCCATTCTTGAGCTGCCGGATTCGAACGAGATGCCCCAGCGTATGCGAAGAACGGTACGGAAGGCCGACATAAGACCTCACAAAACGAGTATTCTTCGGCCGTTTGTTTGTGCGAGTACATGGCAGGACGACGTGTTGGTGGGTTGGAGTTTCGGCGGGAACCATCCTGCTCTGGATGTTCATCATCCCTGTCTTCGTCCTTCGCCCCCTCTCCTCCACCGCTCTTCCTCCTGTTGCTCCTCCGTGGTCGCAGTTACCCGAACGAGCAGAGCCCGAGCCCCACACAGTAGCCGCACCGCTCTTTCAGGTGACGCGACGTGCCTGAAGTCGTGAACAACTGTTCTGCGGACGGGCTCGATCTGCATTTTTGTTGTACGCAGGTCGCCGCACGCCAGTTGCTGCATGGTCCGCGGCACTCCTGGTTTGGGCTGCGGCTCTGCATGTTATTTCAGATTTGCTCAGCCGTGCTCCATTGCGAGCAATAGTGCTTGCCGCATTGCGGTGGCATAGACTCAGAAGAGGCCCCACGCTGGGTTGAGGATGGCAGGGGTCGCCGTAATACCTTACAGTTGGTAGACTCCGTCGGCCTATTGACCCATGCGGTGTTGTGCATTTTTGGCTTGGCCCATTATGAGCTGTCGGGTGCAACCAAGTGGCCCCGGGCCCAGCGTATACGAAGAACGGTACGGAAGACCGTAAGACCTTACAGTACTTAGTCTTCTTCGGCCGTCTACTTCGTTCTTCTTCGGCATGTAAATTCTGCATCCAATTTCTTTTCTTCGCCGCAAGCGTTGCCCGCCATTGCAGGCCTGTTTTACAGGTTCGCCGCCCTCACGAATGGGGCGTGACGCTTTGAGGCGTCCGATCGGACCCTTGCTGGCAGGACGACCTCTGTCTGGGCTGGAGTTTCGGCGATAGCCATCTTGTTCTGGACGCTCCATCATCCTTTTCCTCATCCTCCTCCCCGCCTCTCCATTGTTCGTCCTCTTCTTGCTCCTCCGCGGAAACAGTGTCGGAAACCAGCAGAGCGGTCGATTGCCAGCGAGTCGTGGCCGAGCCCCACGCAGTAGCGGGAGGCATTGATATGAGTGACGTGGCTGTCGACATGAGTGCGCAGCTCCGTCTCAAGCGGCTGGCCTTTGTCTAGTGATCAAGGCACGTGCGCTTTGCAGCGAGACTTGGCCAACAATTGATGATGGTTCCAATTAGGAGGCCCCCCAGTGCATCCCGAAGAGGTTTCCAATAAGACCGACGCCCGTCTACGAAGCCACCCCTCCCCCCTGGGAGGCGAGGTTGACGTGAATCCTTCAGGTTACTTTATTGGGGAGAGCGTGATCCACCGCCGCTTTACTGTGGAAAATTCCCCCCCCTCTTCCTCCTGAACCCGGGGGTCCCCCCCCCTCCGAAAATCCCACCCCACCCTGCTGGACCGCCCCCCCCCCCCCTTCCCCCCGGCAACCCCCCCCTTCCCCTTATCCCCCCCCTCCAAAAACCGGGAGGGGGGTCACTACCAGTTCGAACCCCCCCCTCCCCCCAGAAAACCAGAGAGGGGTCATTACCGGTTCGAATACCCCCCCCATCCAGAAAACCGGGGGGGGGTCACTACCGGTTCGAATCTCCCCCCCCTCACCCCCCCTCTCGAAAACCGAGGGGGGTCACTACCGGTTCGAACCCCCCCCCCACCTTCTCGAAAACCGGGGGGGGTCATTACCGGTTCGATCCCCCCCACCCTGAGGTTGACAGGATCTTGTTTTTAGATCTTATGTTATGTTAACATATGTTACATAGATCTATGATATGTTATATACATCATATTAAGCGAAATAGATCCACATCGTTATACATAGATCATAAAACGTGTCGGTCCACGGCTACATCGGCTCATATGTTGACGCGGCGAAGCACAACACAAACAACGCATCGAGACTTGCAAAGAACATGCAGCAATACCGCAGCCGCCTCGATTTCGGGCCAGATACACGATTGAATTTCATCGGGGCCTGACGCTGCTTAACATGGATTCCAAGAGACCCCCACCAGCTGAAACATCACGCAAATATCTTCCCTTGTGCGCCAAAGACTCCCACCAACGTGAAAGATCAATGCTAAGAGACTCCCACCAGCTGAAATATCACGATGTGGGAACCCTCATGCCCAAGTAACTTTCCATGGTGCGCCCAAAACTCCCCGACGAAGAAGAAGGAGGAGGACGACGACGACGACGCCGACGGCGCCACCGAGGACGACGGCGGCGTAGCACATCGGGCGGGGGCGGACTTGGCACACACACACACACACACCTCCTAAGCGAATAAGGGGGGCGACCTGCGGTGAGCATGTACGCGCGTAGGAGGTGTACAGCCGTTCGTCGACGGCC